TAATTTCAATTATAAAATTTGTTTTAATATACTTACTTACACACATTTAAAATGCAATGCTCACATTATGACTCATAAGTTTAAATATTTAAACAAATTAACATATTATAGTATCAGGCAGCCGTAAAAAATCTCTATGGAAATTGCTGCGATGATATGATAGGGAAATCAATGGGTCATGATATAAAGTGGTTATAAACAGTATAGGTTTCTAAAGTCGCACTTCATTTTCACTTTGGCTTATGGACTGATCTTAACGAGGAATAGCTAACACGGTCAGGTACCACTACAGAATACCTTAAGTGTACGAGAAATCGCGAAAACTCATCTTAAGCTATACTATAAAAGGACCCGATTCAGACACACCAACAAACGCACATCCATTCATGATCATATACGTACATACATACAGACATATTATAATTATAATTATAATTATAAATACATACAATGTATAAATGTGCATAATATACTAAAGTAGAATAGGTTTACCTCAGCTAGCTGGTGGAAAAGTTTATTTTTAAAAAGGCAATATTCAAATCACAAATTTATACATAAGTACATACTTACATTTTAAGAACCGTTTTTATGTACTGAAGTGCATTATTAACCGTTATTGTTTCTGTTTTTTTTCTCTGAAGAATTTATTTCTCAGCTCTATCATATTTAAAAATTTTTTATAACACTATTTTTTAAACCATCAGTTTAATCGACCAATTTCGATTTATCTTATAATTATTCAACAATCTTTAAGAATATTATCTAGATACACTGTAACCAGTCATGAGCATGTTCCAAAATTACTAGTTTTCATCTTCTTGTATTAAATAGCTTTTTGTACTTTCCTCAAACACTTTTCCTCTAATTGTTTTTCGAAAATAACTTTTCCATTCCATATTTAACTGTTATTCTTTCAAATTTAAAACTCAAGCTTTAAGTATTTGAGTACGTTATCAACTTTAAACTTATTAAAAAAAATGTAAAATATTTCAAAGATGGTGTTAATAGCGGGAATCGTTAATAGAATGACAGCTTGATCAAATATTCCGTTTCAATACGGAATTAGAGGAATAAACGAACTTTGCCTGAATAAATGAAAAAGATTATTGAATATGAAATTGAAACAACCCCGGGAAGTATTTACACATCAAACATAGAAATTACTCTATTTTCATCAGATTTATTGTCAAATTTTCTAGAAGTAAAATGGCCACAATTATTTTTTGTGGGTGAAATTAAAACAGCTATTAACTAATATTTATTTTTAAATATGATTTTCTTAACCAAATTATTAAATTTTAGCATAACGTCAGATGTTTATCAGATAATTTTAGTTTGATCTAGTATTTCAACAGAACTCAGGTTTTATTAAAACATGGAATGGAATGGAAAAAATATATGAAATTAAAATAGTTTAATTCTGAAAATTTGTGAATTGAAACAATAAAGCAATGTCAAAATTTATGTTACCAGATTGCATTAGATTGTATCCATTTAAATATCACAATGCACGTATACAATTGTATAACCCACCTCTTAAAATAAAAATAAAATTAAAAAATTTAACTGGGATATCTTCTGATGGTCTACTTTCCTAAGAAATAGTGCAACTCATTTAAATCGGTCAAATCTTTGAAATCAATCAAAGTAGAAAAGGTAATCATTAGCAACATTTACGATTTCTGTACATTAAAAGTGATCTATCCATCACACGGAAAAAATTCCAAAAAAAAAAACAATACCAAAATAACACTGTTTTTTGACGTAAACAATAAAAGGACAGTTATAAAGTACATGGCAACATCTTCTAAAGCAACCAATTAACAAATTTAAAAATTGAATCAAAATATCAAACATACATCAAAGCATTTCCAACTTTCAAGTTTCGAAGAAGCGAATTAAATTTATTTTATATTGTATTGTATCGTTCTCAATTAATTTAAACCAGTTTTGTGTGTTAAATTGTAAGAATAAAAGCATACCACAAATTCACAACAATGAAAAAGTGTAAAGTGATGATATCAAGAAGATCCTTCAATGATTTTTTTAATGAAATCTCAAACTCAGCACAAAGTACTGTAGTTAGAGGTAACAAGCCACATAATTTGCAGGTAATTTAAAGCCTTCTCGTTTTTTTTTTATAAAAACCAAAAATAATAAAATACTAATTTTTTAGAACGGGAATTCAAATGGTTTTCTTAAAAAAACTCCTAAGAGGGGCATATCCGAGCAGAAATGCTTGGAAAAAATCTTTGGCACACGTTATTTTAAATGCCATGTTAAGATAAGGAAAGAAAAGAACTAACTCAACTAAAGAACGAAAATATTACACTTTAATTTTTTTTATCTTTAAATTTGCTAAATTATAGCATTTAAAAAAATTTACGCATGTTACACAAAAAATTTTTCTCGTAATACATAAATATGTCTGTAACTGTTACTTAAACATAATTCATGAATAAGAGTAAACTGTAAAATTCGAATTAAGTTTAATAAAATGTAAAGTATTGAAAAAATATTTTTAACTTGTTTAATAAACTTTTGTATATCCTGACATGATTTGTCCTACATATCGGCATCTAACACCTATCTAAATATAAATAGAACTTAATAGATGACTTAGCGTTAGTAAAGTTGAAAATATCGTATATTTGGAAAATCAGGCGGAATCCGTAAAATTAGAATCATCATTTCAACTTGAATATTTTATGAAATTTAATACATAATTGTTTAATGAAAAGAATATTGTTGGTTCATTTAATTTCCTAAATTTAAAATATTGAAATTGTTCGCGGTAAAAAAGTTTTTAATCGGACCAATGAACACGAATATAGGTAAGTAAAATCATCTTCACAACGTTTAAACTACAAAAGGTTTATAAGGCTTTTGGTGCAATCTTTATTCATAATGTATTCAGTTTTTTCGTTTAAAGATGATTTTTAATAAGATAATAATAACTTCTAAAGAGCATATGAAGATAGGTACAATGCTATCTGTACTTAAACAGAGGAATGTATCTTCTTAATTTGGAGATATTGGACGTAGTATTATAAAGATAATAAGTACATACAATTAGGTCTTATATCTTACCGTAAAATATCAGAATAACAAACTTAAACTAATTTTGATTTACAGCACTCCATATAAATTTAAAATTAATAGGACAATTTTAATATTAGTATAAACGACACATTTAATTCTTTTCTTTGACAATTCAGCTGAACTCAACTGGGAAATGTATACATATCTTTTTCTTTTTACATACGCATATATAAATATGTATTATTCGTTTTAAATAAAACAAAATCTTTTTATTAAAATTTTTTAATTTTAATTTTAAACACAAAAGATACAATTATAATATTATAGTTTAAAATATCTATGTATATTTAATAAATTGATATTATTCCGTTTTTACTATTCAAAAATTAATTCACAACAAAAATGAAAATTATTTTTTGTTTTTTTTTTTTGAATATGAGTAACGAGAATATTAATTCAAAATATATGTTTGTTTCTATTTAAATCTATAATAAACGAACGAAAATGTGAAGGATTTGAAATATCAATTTAATTATAAAATGTGATCAAGTTAATTTAATTCATTTTCTTAACACAATAATACGAAACATAATAATAAAGTATAAAGTTTCTTTTTCTTAAATTACCTAAAACTTATTAGTCTACAAAATATAAGCTATATAATTATATCAAGGATAACAGAATTATAATATGTAATATTTCTACGTTAATTTCTCCTCGCATTTAATAAAAAGAATAGAACCCTTTTAAACTTAGTTAAACCCATTTTTGTTTAAAGGTTAAATAACTTTTTTTTTGTAAATTTTTTTATCAACTATTCATATCTTTTAACATTTACAAATATGTCAAAAATTATTTAAAATTAAATTAAAAACGGAAAATTGTATAATATTATTACTTATTTTTAACTTGAAGTTTCTTGTAGATCATAGCATCAATTAATACACAATAATAATAATAATTGTAGTTTTGCAGAATATGGTATTCATGAAATTTTAATTAACAGAAATTCAATGTACGAATCTTAATGAATATTAATATTATTATTATCGATTTTATTAATTGGATTTTTAATTATTTACATTTGTAGTTTTTAAATTATTGAGAATAAAAAATCAAAATATTTCATAATTAAAAAAAAACGAAGTTATTAAAAAGATTCATTTTATATTAAGAAATTTGAAATATTGATTATAATTATATTATATTCAACATGAAAATATAGAAAAATTTACCAAAATATTTGAAACTTCCCATTGACATATTCATTATGGTTAATAAAATTGCAATTAAATATATTATTGAATACCATATTTTCTTTTTTGTACTTTACAATTTTATTTTATATATGTTTTCATATTATTAACACTATGATGAATCATGATCTTATTTGTGCAAAGGGATGCTAATACATAATAATAATAATGAGTTTCAAAGTTATAAGCCTATTGTTAAATCAAAAATAATAATGTCTTATTACATGAGCTTATTTTGTATGGTCGTGTTCATTTATCAGAATAGTTAAATACTATAATAGTACGTTAAGTTTAATTTTAATTATAATACAATATTAACTATTTATATAATATGTATATTATGTTACTTACTTGATCTATGTTTGTAAAATTTAACACATATACATAATTAAGTATTATAATAGTTGTATCTAAATTTAAACAACTATTTTTTTTTTTTTAATCTTAATCTTTCCTATAATAAATTCTAATAAAATACATTCTTTTCTGAATTTAAAAATTTTAAGAGTACTTTGAAACAAAAAATAATTTTTTTTTTCATTTTTTCTCTTTTTTTTATGTATATCAGAAATTACAGTATTAATCTATGTGTTATGTAAGATTTTAAATTATATTACATAAATGGTAAAAAATGAAAATAAAATAAGAATTTATAAAACTACATTAAAATGCTTACAAATATTGCAAGGATATCTAGTTTTCTTATTCACAATGATAATTTTTGTGTTCAACTATTATTTCTTATATCGTTTATGTATACAATAATATAGTTAAATTGAAACAATTGAAACTATATATTTATATTATGGGTTGACTGTTTCGATTTTAATTGTGAATATTGTTTCATTGAAATTTAACAATTAAAATATAAATAAACAAAGTTTAATAGATTCTTATTTCATACTAAATAATTATTTTTTTCAATGTATTTATTTATTCAAATACCTTTTGTGTCTATATAAATATTATTCTATTAAATATAATTATATATGTATTTTGTGTATTTAATAAATATATACTAGGTAAAATATTTATTTTTTGAATGTACTTAAAAATGATGTAAAACCACCTAATAAATTTCTTTGCGGCTTAGGTTTGTTTTTATCATTTTCTGGTCTAAAACTAGAAGATGTTGTTGTAGTTTTTGTTATTGATGTTGATGATGTTTGTCCTTTTACCGATGAATCTTTTGTTTGTATTACGGATGTTGTTTTGGTTGCTCCCTTTGTTGATGTTATGACTGGTGTTGATGTTGTTGTTGTTGTTTTTGTTTTCATGACAGTGTTTTCTGTTTTCGTAACAGTATTTTCTATTTTCGATAATGAAATTGATGAGTTCAATGTGGAAGATAATGTTGATGACACTGTTGTTTGGGTCGTTGATTTCGTATGTATATCAGATAATGCTGATGATGATGATTTTGTTGTATTCTCTTCTTTTTTATTATTTGGGCTATAGTCATCATTACAATTATCATCATTACTTGTCGCTGCTATAGCTGCTTCAATAGCTTTCGCAGTATCCATATTAACTTCATTGTCATCAAATGTATCGTCAAAATCATTTGAATGATCGGAAGAAACGGATTCCAAATCAACTAATTCTTTTGTGACATTTTCAGTATTTTGATTTTCAATATTTTCATTTGAAACGGAATCGGAAGGTATTGTATCAGAAAATTTAACTTTTTCATTAACTTTTTCGTTTGATTTGTCATTATTTAATTTTCTTTCTACATTCTTGCTATTTTCTACGAGTTTTTTGTCCAACTCACGGCTTTCGTTATTTAAATTTTCTAGCATTTCATTTGTGTTGTTCAATTTTTTACAAATATCGACTTCTCCAGTTTTCTCAAAAGATTTTTCAAAGCTATTAATTTGCTCATCCTCTTCTGCAGTTTCATCTTCCCCTTCCATTTCTTCATAATGTTTTGTTCCTTTTTTTTCTAAATTTTCCTCCACGTAATCTTCTTCGGTTATATCTTCCCCTTTGTCATCACTTTGTTTTAAATCTGTATTATTTCCATTATCTAAGTCATCTACTGAATTATTATCCTCATCATTACTTTCATTTAATTCAATGGCTGTACCTTTTTCTTTAAATGAGTTTTTATTTTCTATGCAATTATTATTTATTTTCTTCTCTTCATCGTCATCATTTTCGACATTATCTTTTTTTTGAATTTCATTTTTATTCTCAACTATTTTAACTCCTAGTATTTCCTCTTCAACATTACTTTCATTATCATTCGGTATAACATTTTTCTCAGAAGATTCTTCAGAACTTTGTTCTGCCGCATCTAGATTTTCACTTTCGTTGTTTAATATTTCGGGTTTTCCACTATTACTCTGATGAGATATAGCTGAAAGTTCTGAGTTGTTATCAATGGCATTTTCACTTGCTTCATTCAAGGTAACTGGAACATCATTATTTTTGCTGTCTTGCTTCTCCGTATTTTCGGATTCCTCGTTTACACTTGATATTTCTTTTGTATTATCTAAAGTTTTAGCTGAATTTTCTTGTGGACACTGCGAAGCGGCTTTTTGATCTTCGTCTAAAACAAATTAATGTTATTACTTATTTTTATTCAAATTTTATTTATTAATTATGTACTACCTTTAAAATTAGCTTCAAACTCTAATATTAAATCTTTATCTGTTATATTATCTTCTGGTTCCCATGTGTTTTCTTCTTGGGGATAGCCAGCCCATTTAATGTAATACTCAATTTTACCATATCTTTTTCGTCGGTCTTCAATTTTTTCAACTAAATACTCCTCTTCTTCTTCTTCTTCTATTTAAAAATTAATTTAAAAATAACTAATTGTTTGTAAAAGTTTGTAATGGCGGTGATTATACAAACATTATATTTACCTTCTTGTTTTTTCCGCAATTTAGCTTCTTGTCTTTCTTTTTTCTTTTGTTCATTCTTTTCCAATCTTTCCCTTGCCTTTTTTTCTTTCATTTCTTGCTTTTCTTGTTCTCGTTTCAATCTAGTCTCCTCTCTTTTTTGTTGCTTCTCAGTTTTTATTACTTCATATCCATACAATGTCTTTATGGATGGTCTAATTATTTTCTCGTCCGCCACCCGTAATGATTTATTACGAGGACACTCGTCTGATTTCAAGGGGCTGTAATATTTTCTCTTCCGAATTTTTCGCGAATGCTCCTTTGAAGATTCAATCGAACTATCGTTCCCTTCAGGAACTGTTTGGTTAATTTTAGTTTCGGACTCTAATTCTTTGTTAGAGTTACTGGCTTCAATATTTTCTGAGCTTGAAAGCTCACTTTGCGCATCATTATTTTGTTGTTCCTCATTTTCTTTTTGTTCATTATTTTCTTTAGCTTGATTGATTTCTTTTTGCGAATTTTCTTCTAGTTGGGAACTATGATTATCACTCAGTTTATTTTCCAGTTGAACAGCTGGTGTCTTTAATACTTTATCTTCCGAAATCACATTCTCCAATTTTTCCCCTTCTAGTTCCAACGTATGACTGTTTTTAATGTTACTCGTTCCTTCTACATCTTTTTCTTGCAAAGTTTTATGTATATTCTTCTCGTTTTCAGACGAAACAGGAAAGTTAGTTTTATCTGGATTAGTTACAATATTTTCCTCTTGTGAGCTACCTTCATTTTCATTAATATTTTCATCGTCTTGTTCAATGTGTTTTTCAGTATGTTCGTCTTCTGATTTCTTATCAGAAAATTTATTTGTATCATTTTCTTCCCTATTGTTGACACTATTTTCCATGTTTTCGTCTTCATACTCACTCCCTTCTGTTTCAGACTCGCCAAATATTTCGACAGTTTCCAAAAAAGACACTGATTTGTTTAGAGTGGATCTTCTTTTATCTTTTCGTTTTTGTATCTTGTCCTCTTCGTAAGCCTCCCAATCAGATATTGTAACATTCCCTTTTAAAAATGCATTGATAATATATTTGTTATTAAAGTGAATATATAAAACTTACCATCCAAACATTTAATTTTTCCAATCTTTACATGGCACTTCAAAAATTGTTTTCCGAATTTTTCGGTTATATACGGTTTTTCAAAATGTGTTAGATCAATTTTTTTTTCCTTGGGTTTTTTTATCTTGACTTTTTTTGGTGATGTGTCTGTTTTCTTTGAAACACTGGGACTATTTTTCGGTGGTGGAGATGACTTAATCCTTTTTGCTGCAACAACAGATCGCGGACTACGGGTGATCATTTTTCTTTTTACAGAATTCGGAATTGTATTTAACTTGAAAAATAATTTAGAATTTAATTTGCTTTGATCTATAGGAGAGTCCGAAGTTCTACGTTTTAATTCTTGAACAGGTAAATTTAAACTTCTTGTAGCTCTTTTAATATTAGTTGTACTCTTTGGACTACTTGCAGCTATTGGAGAAGAGAATTTCGAGCTTTTAGAAGTCCTAGAGAATGACGAGGATCTAGAATTCAAAGTATTTTTAGTATTTTTAGGTGTCGTTGGTGTTCGTTCTGGATAAGATTTAATTTTATTGACACTAGTTTTTCTTGTTTTTATCATACGTCGTATTGTTTTTAATGATAATCTTTTAACAGAAATTTTGAGAGACTTCCCAAAACGCTTGGTATTTTTAATATTTTTTGCACTCTTCAAATTTTTAGATCTTCTAGATATTTTAATTAAGCTTTCAGTTTCTTTCATATTATGATTTTGTTCTTTATTAATTTTTTTACTAAAACTAGTTTCGGTTTCACTTAAATCTATTGTTGAATAGTTTTGCTGTCTTGTGTGTCTCAGCCTATTCGGCAAATTTTTATTATTTTTCATAGATTTATCAAGATTTGTATTAAGTGTAGGAGAGCCTGCACTCTTTTTTAAAACGGGATTAGCACCCAACAGCCTATCTAATTCACTAGTTCTGGGAGATTTTACTTTCTGATGAGCTTGTAAATTATTTTTTGTAGAATTTCTACTTGTATTAGTAATCGGAATCACTTCACTCTTATTTTTTCCTAATTTTATTTTTATAGGTGGAACCACTAAATCTTTGACTAGTGTATTAACTTTTGCTTTTTGATTTTTTTTTGTTTCAGAAATTTTTTGATTTTTTGCTGAAAAAACAATATTCTCCAATTCATCGGTAGAGAGATTTGGTGCATTAATTTTTAATGTATTTTCGAATAATTTTTGATTAGCTTTTGTTTTTTTATTTCGATTCTTATGTAAACTTCCAATAGATAAATAATCATCAGATATTAAAAAATCCGGAGTTGATAAAGGATCCAAGGGATCTGATTCAGTTTCAGTTAAATCAACAATCGTTTTTGTCTCTTTTTTGGAGTTTTTTGTATTTTTCAAAAATTTGCTAAAAACATTTTGTTTGTTTAATTTCTCTAAACCAGTTTTCGGACACAAATATTTTATATTAATTGCTTTTTCTTCAGTTTCTTTAATTAAATTTTCAAATAATGATTCTGAAAGACTCATTTCTGTTTTTTAACAAAATTATTACAAACCTAAAATGAAAAAAGTTGTTCTATTTAATTGTCAATTTTAATTTTATAATTGCTTATGTTATTTCTTCCACCACTTATACATAATAAAATTTAATAAGTTTGTAATTTTAGAAGTAAACATTTTTCCGTATTTAAAACTTTTGAATTGACAAACATTACGAATATTTTACATACAATTGTAGTTCACATTGAATTTTTTTTACTACAAAGCAGCGAAAACTCCATTTTCAAAGATGCGTCTATTTCGGCGCGATAAATTTATCTTACAGAGTTATATGAATATATATAGTACTCTAATTTTTTTTATTTATTCAATACATATGTCCCAAATTACACATTAAACTAAATTTTAATTTAGTTACTGTTTAGTTTGAATGAAATTTGATTATATTAAAAAAAAAAATTATACTTGCGGCTTACAACTTATTTTTGCAACACTACGACGCTTTAAAATTAAAAACTAGATTCATCCCACTCTAAATATGACATCTACAATATCTTCTCTTTTTTTTAACTTACTTGAAAAAACATATTTACGTACAATCCAACTGCTTGTCTTGTTCTCAATACATAATGTCGTTCAACTGTCTTTCAATATGAAAATGCATTTTCGTTGCTGCATAAAGTAGTTATTTTAAATTATAAAACTGGCAATAGATGGTTCTGTAATTCTTATTTCAATTGAAAATTTCAGTTAATCGCATACTCGGAAATGTACCTTTTCTTCAAAAAGCAAGTAACAAAAATTTTAAAAATAACTCAAATAATAATTAAACAAGTTAAATATTATGTTTTGTGACAAGACGTGCTTAAAAATTAAATACGTCTTGTCGTTGCCGTTTAATTTGAATGGGCTGAATCATATTTTTGCGAGAAGTTACGAACCATGACTGATGAAATAAATTGTCATTCTCTCTCAGTATTCAGGCAATCGATGTATGAAGCTAATGCGTCCACTGTTGAGGCATGTATTTTAGTTACTACCACGGCTGACAGATATTTTTGTTATGTCAAAATTACTAAGCAAAATTTTAATACATAGGTCTGACATGCACTGAGTTGTCATTGTTTTGATATTTGCCCTAGCAAATTATGTGACAATTATGGAACGTTTCTTGTTTTCTTGAAAACTCTCGTAGTGAAATTCTTTGAATTCGGAATAGTGTCCTCGCTCCCCAAAATTCTTTTTGGTCATAGTTTAAGATCACCAAATACATTCACATAGGGTACTAATAAAAAAAGAATAAATAATTTTTCAAAATCGATTCTGCGAGGCTATAAATCCAAAGAAAATGTTAATAAAAGTTTGAAGAAGTTTTGTGTTGAAAAAATGTTTGAAATCGGTTCCGCCAAGTCACATGCCTTATATAATGTTATGAGGCATCTTAAACAGAATCACAGCTTCTTTACACAGTATAAAGTTTAAAATAAAAACCTTAAAACAAGAAAAATGTAACGTCACTTGTACCAAAGAGAGGAAAAATTGTCATTTCTAGAAAAAAATAAGCTTTATAAAGTTTTTAAAAAAAATTTTTTATGTCAGATTCTCAGACAAATCATATAAAAATTTTCTTTGATAAAATTAATGTTTTCTATTTGACTCAGTGAGTCAAATATCTTGAAAACTTACAATTTTTTCCGAAAATAGCGTTGTCGTTCACTGTCAAACTTACTAAATATAAATGTGAGGTTAAGAAGAGTAGGAGAAAAGTAAAAATAAATAAAAGATAAGTTTTAAAAAAAAATAATTTTAATTTAAATTAAGTATAAAGTGAAAATTAATTGCTTCATCAATTTAAACAACAAAAAAGGTAAAACGAAACTTTTCAAAGTTTTTTTCCTATAAGTCTATTTTATCAATTTTTTTTTAATTTTTGCATAAATCAAATAAAAATTACATTGATTTTTCTTTTGAAAAGCCTAGTTCTTGGATGTATACTGCGAAAATTTTTTTGAAAAGAAAAATGATTTAGAAAATTTTCATAAAAAATTCAATTTTTATTGTTACATTTTAATATTTTATAATAATACAGGCTTTTTTTATTTAACAAATTATAACAAATCCGAATTTATCTCAACGGAATTTCTATTCCTTAACAAATAAATTTTAACAAACAGAATTTTTATTTTGGTATAGATTTTTATAAAATCTTCATTGACATACAAGTTTGTGTATATGTAAATGTTCATGAATATATTATAAGTATGTAATACAAACAATATTTTACAAAATTTAGACACAAAAATTCAATTTACCTATGTAGGTATTTAATAATATTTATTTAGAGGATTGCTAAGTACAAATTGAGATATTTTTTTATAAGAATTTCTTTTTTTACTTTTCCTATCCTAATAATATTTAAAAAAGAAAAAAAAAATTTCTATAAATTTTGTTTACTTTTCTTTTTTTTATTTTTATTTTTAGATCTTTTGGAAAATTGCCTCTCCTTTTCAATTATTTCCAGTGATTCGCTCTTTTCTGTATGGATGATTATTTCTTCTATTTGACTATTACTATGATGAAATCCAAATGTATCACGATTTAAATTTTTAATAGCTGGTATGGATCGATTTCGTTTCTTTCTATATGATGATGATTGAACATTTGTTGTGGTTTGTGCAACCAAACCGGTAGCTTTAAATTTATGACTTTTTGGCAGTGGTGGTACCATTAATGTATTATTAGAAAATTGACTAAAAGAATTTGCATTAATTGTACCAATATTTCCTATTGATTTACGAGCACCTAACAATGATTTTGGTCTTGCCTTAGTATTTGTAGTTATACATGGAGTATTCGTTTGAAGAGCATCAGTAGATTTATTTTGTGAATTTCTGTTATTGAAAAAAAAATTTCTTTATTAAATAATTTCGGCTGGATTCACAAGTTTTATATGATAAGAAAATGGGTTGATTTTATGAATACATTACCTTTTTTTTCTAATTTTATTTAATTGATCATTCGTTACAGAGTCTAATTTTTCTAATTTAGATGAAGATCTTCCACTTTTACTTCGAGATTTAACGGATATAGGTCGATCTTCTTTCATAGTTGGAACTGTTAGATTTATTGTAACTTTATTTCTTACTGGTGACTGATAAAATTCTCTTCTCAATTCTGGTTCTTTTTCTTGCCATATTAGTAGTTTTTGAGAACATGCTCTAAATTAAAAAAAAAATTTTTATATTTTTTATATGTTAAAGCTAAAAATAATTTAAAAACAAACATTAAAAGCTCTTCTTGTTCATCTTTAACCACTTCGTTGCTATCTCGTTTCTCGTTAATAGGCGGAATTCCCCAGGACAATGGCCGACGTCTCTCTGCACTTGATCCTAAGCTAGGCTCATTAACACCAGTCCAAATTTTTTTCTTTAATGACAATTTGAATTGCAAATTATCTGTATTATGTTCCGTATTATAACTGGATGAATTATGTACTCTGAACAAAAGTGAAAGTTAGAATTAAAAATATGATTAATCTTTTTTTTTTTTTTTTTTAAATTTTTATTTTACCTTATTTTGGGGACGCTTTGTTTATTATATGTATGCCATGAATTAGTTCTTCGTGAATAATTATTGTCGGATATTGGAGGAAATTCAGTCATATTGTTGCTATTATTAAAAGTGTGCATAGTTTCTGGATACATTTTTTTAAATAAATTTCCTGATAAATCGTTTTTCTTTTTTGCAGGTGTAACTATCAATTCCGGTGGCATTTTTAAACTGTCGGTTTCACCTTCAATATATTTTCGTTGAAGATCACTATTCATTAGTGTACGTCTTGTTTTTGGAATAGTATCATATCCGTCACCCGCACCCTCATTTCCATCGGTTAATTCATCATCGCTTGAAAATTGTATATCTGATCCAGGATCTGTTGTTGGTAAATCTAAAGTTTTACGTATTTGTTTCTTTTTCCGTTTATTTGTTTTAATTCGCAGTTTAGCTTTACGAACCTGTTTAAATAAAGGAAAAATTAAATAAATATGCAAATATGTACGAGTATAAGTATTAAGTAGGGTTATTCATTAAGTTATTTTTATATCTTGTACGACTCTATAATTATAAATTAATTTTTATACAAAATACCAACTACATATATGTTTAAAATCAATATTTTTTAATGCTTCATTAAAATTTTTTGTTTTTTTTTTAGATTTTCACATTTTCTAATCAGTTTTGTTGGTTTTGTAGAATGGTAGTTGGATAGAACTTAAGCTGTTTTGAATATATTTAATTGAATAAACTAAAGTATGTATGTATTAAGAATCCTTTGGAAACATTAATTTAATTATTAGAAAAATATTATCAAATATTTTGTAGATTTGTTATAAAACGTTTAGATTCTTTATTGAGATTTTATCGCTAACCTTTCACTATTATGGCAATTTCATAAAATTCTATTGAGAGAAATTGAAGAATGTGATAATACTTTGCAATTTTAAAATAAATAGTAAGGAAATCAAAGTCAAGGGTTCTGGTATAAACAGAATCAATTAAATTTTTTAAATTCCTTAAATTATTTCAACTTTTTACTAAAAAATTTTTTTTGCAAACTATTTAGAGATTATCGTTTTTTCTTATTTTGATTGTCCTCTTTAAGAATAGCGCGATTCATTCATTATTAGAATGTATTGAGTTTTTTATTAATGAAAAATAAATTTAAGGAGACCATATTTATGAATAATGTAAAATTAAACTGAGAGTCAAAGAAATTGAAGTTAATTTAAGAATTCTTATTGATTTCAATCAAATAAATTTTTTATATTTCACTCTAGTATTTCATGAAATATTTTTTATTTTAGAAAAATATGGAAATAGCTTATTTCAAATCAAATATTTAACTATGGAAAATAATTTATAAAAATTTAGATAAACACATTAACACCGGTTTCAAATTTAAAGGGAAGCAGCATGAATCGATGAACAAAATATTTTACAAATTTACGATATTGTTCTTATTCAAAAGTAAAAACGGCAACTAGAACAATGTTTGTTTTGTAAGAATTAATAACAATTAATTGCAGTATTGATTTTATGTAAATTTATTTTCATTTAACCAAGTTGCTTGTTTTAAATTGAAATAATGGTCACTATATTCACATCTATTTTAGGTACCCACATATTTTATAAGGTTGAAAATAAAATTTTTGGCGCTTAAGAAACAATTGAAAATATAAATAGCAGAAAGCTAAACAAAATCATTTTATGTGTATGAATGTGTACATATGTTTATATGTGCATTCATCACAAATGTGAAGTAATTTTAGTACAATAGTTTTTTATTTTGTTGGTAAAGATTCCAAATTCAAATATATACAAATTTTTAATATTCAGTTTTAATCAACTAATGTGGAAATTTAATTTGAATATTATATTGGCGAAATATTTTTGAGATTGGTTTTAATAATATCTGAAATTTTTTGAAAAAATCTACAATTTACTTCATTAGCATATTTGAAATTCTATAACTTACACAAAAAATAAGCAAAAATTAAGAAGGAATTTGTATTATTCACTTAAATTGTATAAGTATTATAATTGAAATTTAAATATTTAGTATGAGTTATGGCATATGTTCCGTTCTCGGCTATATCTACAGTTAGATTCAATTAAGCAATTATTAACTAAGAACTCAATTAAAGAAGCTTAACTGTGTTGTTCAAGAATAAGTGTTTCAAACATATAGGATTACATTGAACTAGATCACCTTTGAATATATTATACGTAAATGACTCTTAGATTATAGGAATGTACTAGGAATCCTATCTATTGGTCAAAAACAGTTTGAAAGAACAAAATGAATAGAATAATTAGAGTTTTAATTCTAAATTGTTATATAATTTTACCTTGATTTTTTCGTTTTTAATAATTTTCATAAATTTCTTCATACGAAAACATTGCTTTAATAATTTTTTCTTTGTTTTTTTAGAAATTGATGTACCATCAATTATTTTCAAAACTTTTATGATTTGTGAGTAGCAAATATTTTCTAATTCTTCATTATTTTTAATTTTTTTCGACTTGTTATTAATTTGAATAATGTTTTTAAGAATTTTATATTTAAACTATAGGGACAAAATACAATAAAATAACAAAAATTATGCATTAAAAAAAAAAATTAATAAGTAAATTGAATGTTTTATAAATTATTTATTGAAAGCCTTTCTTTATTTTTGATTTTATGTATATAAATATTTAGGATTTTAAATGTATTTTTTTTGTTTATTTTCGGTAATTATTAAATTCTTTTTTAATCTTATACCTTTTGAATTTCTAATTCTTTTTCTTCATTATCTAAATCGGGTGTACAAGGTGGTGCTTTCATTGGCTGACAACATGGTCCTTCCAAATCAGATAATTTTGATTTTCCTTCATTTTCAGATGAACTACTTGAACTATCATCTCCTTCATCACTAAAAATAAAAAAAAATATTAAGAATTTCTAAGAAAAATTATTATAAATATTGTAAAATCTTAGAAATCTATTTATTAATTGCGGTTTAAAATTAATGTTATAGTACCAAAAAAATTTATTATACTCACCTTGAGTAATCAGACAATGGTATATTGAGTGGTTCGTCAGCGCTTGAACCTTCTTTTAAAAGTCTATCAATAATTTTATGACGTAGTCTTTCCTGTGAAATATGAATTTAATATAAAAGAAAAAATTAAAAAAAAAATCATGATAAAATAAAAATTGAAAAATTAAAAAAACAGGAAAATTTTATTTTTTAAAAAGAATTACAAGAAAATAAAAAAATTTAAGAAAATTCAATTTAGCAAAATGAAAATAATTATATATTTAAATTAAATTGTAATTTAATTAATAGATCAATTTTGTACGAGATTGTAATACATAATTGTTTACAAAAGTTTTCAATTTTAAATTGATTTAGAATATTCGTTCATCGGAATTTTTATTTTTCTAGTTAATGTTATTAGTAATTATCAAAGTTAATTTACAAAATTTCAAAATAGTGTGCTTTTTTGTTATTATTTAATAATTAATATAATAATGAAAATATTAGTTAAATCCATGATGCTTTCATTTATTTTATTATTAATCAAAATTGTTTTCTTTTTAAATTTTAGTTTTTCAAAGTTTTGTGAGTTTTATTTTTGAATATAAAGAAATAAATGACTAAAAAGAATGTAATTTTACAATTGCGAATTGAAACCACAAAATGAAATAATCATATTAGAGGATAATAATGAAGGTAATAATTAAAATACGATATTAAATTCATGTTTTCTTTATTTTAAGCTACGGTGAAGAATGAACCCCAAAAAAAAAAAACCTATTGTTTTTAAAAGGAAAGGAAGTTTTGATTCTAAATAATTTATTAGTAGAATTTGTGATTTTCATTAATCAAAAACACTTGAATTTAATTCTATGATCATTATATTATATATGTATGAAATTATTTTGAAATATTTTATAAAAATTAATTGATAACATTTGATTTTTAACATCTTACCTTTTTTCATTGTGTTTTTGTTTTTTGTTATTAGTATTCTAATGGAAAGTACTACGAGTATTTTATAAAATAAAAATACTAATTCCCTTAATTTATTTTGTTAATTAATTATAATTTTTAAGTTTATTTAAAATTTATTTTTATAAAATTGAAATTGTATTGGATATAAAGTGTTTAATCTTCTAATATCTGTATAAAATATTTCATTTCATACGAATTTTTCATTATTATTATGTACAAAACCTTCTTTTTTATCTATCTGAATGGAAATATATTGAAAAAAGTGATGTTTAATAAATAGAATCCATTATAAACTTCCATAATTTTCAATTAAAATTTGTGAAATTGTTGTTCTACCATTGTATTTATTCTTCAAATCATTTAAATAGGTGCATATTATTAATATTATTAAATAATTTATTGTTTTTTTTTTTGTAATCATACATTTTATAGATTTATTTATTTAAAACCAATGCATGCTCTCAATTCAATTTAATTTCTGCAAGCTATTTTATAATTATTATGTATAATAATAACAATATTTAGCATTCGAATTTGATTAATTATTTAATAATTATAAAATATTTAAGTTCTGCATCTTTAATTTGTGAATGAGGAGTTTATTCTTTACAAAGGAAAAAAAAATAATATCTTAATATTCATCAAATTTTTTGGTTTCAGTTGAGATTTCTGGTATATTTTTGGAGAATTACCTATTTAATATTGTTGTCTGTATTGTAATTTAAAAAAATAATTTTAAAATAAAAATTTTAATATCGAAATTTAAAATAATATTTTCAGGAATTATTCGAATTCTAATAAATGTTGAAAATTGTATCCAAAAATTTTTAATTGATGAGCATCGAAGAATTTGTAATTGATGCGTCTATTTTTTTTTTGAAAAAGAAATTATATTAATAAATTTTATTTTTGTTTTATGCCAACGCTACGTATAAATTACGACATTATTACATCTGGACATAACGCCCAAATACAATTGGATGTGTTAACCGCATATGTTGAGGGCTTTTTGTTTTCAAAAAGTGATCTTTAAGCTTCATAATGCACACTAGTTTTGTGTAAATTAAAATTATTTGATGCTATTAAATAAAAAATACAAATACCATAAAATAAATAAATAAAAACAAAAATAAATTAAGAAAATTAAAATAAAACAAATTTTTTTTCAAAAAATATATTTTGTTTCCATGAAATCCAAAACACAAAATTTGAAGTAATTTAAAATTAAACAAAAAAAAACACATCCACAATAATTAATTTTTTTTTTTGTTGAATTTTCGGTTTTTTGTTTAAATAAGTTTAAATAATTTTAAAAAATAGCAACTCAGGTACAATATTAAAGCAAAATATTTTTGTTAAATTATAAATTAAATTTATTTATTGTATTTTTTTTAAAAATAATATTAGAGACAAGAAAAAAAAAAACAAAAAAAATTCGTTCAGTTTAATGTTAAAATTTAAAATGGTTTTTAAAATATTCGTTTACTTAAGCTAGAGTTAAAATAAAATTTAAGGATCAAAATTTAGAATTTTTGTAAGTGTTCAATCATACGAGTATACAGGTCATATACCTCTTTTATAAAGCAGCCTCAATTCCTGACTTGAAATCAGTTCAATACTGAAGCAACATTTTTATTATGCCAGCTTGAATGCTTGAAAATGGCGTTTAGCTATCACATTTCAAGTAATTATTAATATTTTCAAGTCAAGTAGGCTTTAAGCAGATAGGCTTTAAGTATGCGCTTTAAGTTTATATTGACATAAAATAGGCTTTAAGTACGATGGAAGCTGCCATATAATCAGGCAAATAGTTCATAAATTTTGATCCAAATATTTTATTTGTTTTTTTTTTTTTACAATTAAATGAGTGGCAAAAGAGAATAATCACTAAAATTTGCATAATTTTTTGCTTAAAGCTGTTTTGGCTAATTATGTTGCCATTATATTTAATAATAAATTTATATTTTATCGGTTGTTCCATAATATGTTGGTTCATTCATTTCAAACTTTAGTGATTAGGAATTTTTTTTTGGTAACTTTGCCAAAATGAATAATAAGTACGCCAAAATATTTTCGGACATAGATTTGAACATTGAAAACATTAGCATAGTTATCTAATTTTTCGATAAAGTCAACTTTAGGCCATTATTCTTTTTCGCCACTATTTTGTGTTATTAAAAATTATTATTTTTTTTTTTAAACATAAACATTCAACTAAGCGTATTTTGCATATTATTACTTTTTTGTTTCCATTGTGTGTGTTTTTGTGTATATATGATGTTCTTTTGAATAAATCCATAATATTATTAAATAATTAATTTTAATATTATATTTATTATATAAAAATTCTTGTATATCAGGAATAAATTTTATTTTTATATAATTTTAAAATGTTTTTATTTGGTTTTAATTAATTTTGTTAGATTTATTTTAAAATGTTATCATAATTATAGGCTAGATTAGTTTTAATATCGTTATAAATTATTAAATACTTTATAAACTTTGATAAATTTCGTAATTTATGCATTTTACTTTTTTTTTTGTTAATTTAATTAATCTGGTTTTGGGGTTTTCAAAAATTATAATTTTATTAACTATTTAGTATAGACTTTGCTTTTTGATTTCTTTTAATTAAATCCTAATGTTATTAAATGGACTAAAAATTAATTAAACAACTGATATTGATTTGAAAAAAAAATTTGATAAAATATATTTAATATATATTATATTTTCTCAGTATAACTCAGATTTTCAGAAAAAATAGGGGTGTAATTGCTTAAAAAAGCAAATTCTTAAAACATTTTCTGAAATCCAAATTTAAAAATTTGTGCTAATATTGTGTATGCTTAGAAAAATGGGTTGTAAGATTGAATTTTATTAAGGCCTTTTTTAAGAGGTTAATAGGGTTGATTTTATTATAATTTTTGAATTCGAAATTTGAAATTACAGAAACTGAATGAAAATAAGAAAAACATTTAAAATATTTATTTTTTAAGAAAAAATTTAATTGTATTGTAAAAGTTTTTAATTTTTTCTTGAAAAGTTTTAGTAATAGAAAATAGTTTTAATAAAAATAGGTTCGATGTTGAAGTGAATAGTTAGGAAAGTTCAAAATAAAGTTCAAAATTAACTTTTTCAGTTTCTATTATTTTTAAAGCAGAATGTCATTGTAAAGAATTTGCAAAAGACAAGAATTTCAAAACTCTTTGGCTATTAGTATGAATTCCAGTTTTTGCTGCTAACGCAAGTTATTATCATTTTCTGATTTTTTTTTGCATATTTTCATGTGTTACTGCATTTGCAAAAACTAATTTTTAAAATTGGCTGGTTTTGATGAATGCAGAAAAGGAACATCAGCTGACAAGCGTTGTTTGATTTGCATAACTGTCGTTTGTCAATCAAAATTATTAAAATGATTGATACGATCGTCAGATTGATAATGTTCTGATGTTCTGAAAGTACCTTAATGTTCAACGCACTAATTTTATAGGTCCATTTTATAACATTATTAAATTGTTTTATGGCTTATAATAAATATAACATATTAATTAATTTGTTTTTGATTCATTTAAGTGTAATAGTGTGTAATTTGTTTGAAAGTGTAATTATTATTTAACTTTAAAAAAAAAATAAAATTAAATTATATTGATTTTAATTTGTTGTTTGCATTCAATGGTATAAATATAAAAATTATTTATATATTTGTAAATAAAATAATAATTTAATTATGTGTGCATTTTTAAAAATATTTTTTTTTTTTAATAGATTTTCAAAAGAAAAGCAATGTTTTTGTAATATTTTTGTTTTCTTAATTAAAAATTCTAATTTTGTAAAAAAATTTTCATTTAATTATTGTCGAGGGATGCTTTTTTTTAATTAATTAACATTTCATAATTAAAATATTCATAAATTTGAATAAAAGTTTTTAAAGTAAAGAATTTATTTTTTTATTTTTTGGATTATTAGGAAATTTTCTTTTGAATTTTGTAAAAATTTATGAATTATTATGAAATTTGGAAGTGAAAAGAAAAAAAATTTTAAATTGAGGTTAACATTTATTATCTACATGTACATGATGGTGTTGCCCATTTGTTAAGATTTTAATTGAATCTTTTGATATGTCGGTGCCTACAAAATATTTCTTATGGTTTTGGCTCCTGTGATTTGTTTTAAATGTTTATAGTTCGTTCATTGTTTGTTTTCTTTTTTCATTCCATGTTCTTAACAATTCTCAATTTGAAGTGATTGTGAGAAGAAGTGATCGTAGAACTTTGCGTGTATAATTTGCATTATAGTGTAATAGATCTGTGATTAAGTAACATAGAAATTACAGTCTCGAGATTAATAATTCAAAATTGTATTGAATTTTCTAGATTTTCTTAATTGCATATTGAAATTTTCAATACGCTTTTCTATTAGTGTAAAATTTTCAACTAAGTTTCAATTATAGAAAAATACCCTCTATGTTTTGTCAATATAAGCAAATATTTAATTTTAAATTTAAAAAAAAAAAAAAAAATTTACATTGTTTTGTTAAAAAAGCATATTCTCCCCAGATAAAATTTATAGCTACATAAGTGGAAAATTAAGCAATAATCAAAAAAATTTCAGCAGAATTACTCGAATAGATTCTTTAAATTTTGAAAATTTTATAAAATATTAAATGGGAGCTCTTATTCTAACACATTTTTTTAATGTAGTATTTAAAGAAATGAATAAGAGTAGGGAGGCTTTTGTTCTATATTATTTGTTTTGCCTTTTTTCTACCTAATAATAATTATAAAATTTTCAAATTTTTTTATGGAGTTTAAATTATGAAGCGTTTCAAGAAATATTTATAATCCTAAACGATTATATTTTCAAACTGTTTTCTCTGTTATTATAATATTATCAATTATACATCCCTCTTCAGCTAATTTTTTTAATTTCATTGCTTTTCTTTCACGTTTTTCACGTTTTCTTAATCTTTTAATTCTTCTAAATAATCGATCACGTTTGTTTACTTTATGAGGATGTTCATCATAATAATCCAATAATGTTTCACAAAATGTACGTCCAACATGTTCATAATCCTTTAAATGAAATGCAAAAATTAAAATAAATTTTAATATACATACGTAAATGTAATTATATTGTAATGAGTACTTTATTATAAAAAATTAAATTTTTCTAATTTTTTTATATTAATTACCGCTGTTGAAAAATGTGTACCACTTCTTGATCCAAGGCTTGTACCACCGAATGATGCTTCAATTGTATAACTATTTAAAATTCCTAACATCCAAATAACAATACGTCCAGTACCTTCTTTACTTCTTTGTATTTTAAATTTACAACTTTCAAATGAAAACTATAAAATATAAAAGATTTAATAAATTAAATTTATTGAAAATTTTTTTTTTTAGTAAATTATTAAATTTTCACCTTATCTGCACAATTTTTATGTACCATTAATGGAAAAACTTGTTCTAAAAGTTTTTTTTCGGGTTGACGTTTATTTTCGCAACCATAAATAAAAATATTATGAGCTCTTGAATGAGCGTGCATATCACAGTACATGGCAACACCGCAGTCATCAATCAGTCTATAAGATTAATAAATATTTTTATAAATTTTTATTAATTTTTATTTAAATTACATTTTTGTATAACAGATTTTCTGTGTTTTTCAACTAACGTCAACATTTTAATGTTATACAATTTTTATATTTATTTACCTTTTAATCATTGCCTTTGTATACCATATTGATGGATATGTTTCACGTATAACAGTACGATATTGTCGATTTAAATCTTTTCCTGTTAATGAACTTCTTGTATTGCCAACAATAACACCATCTGGATTTAACATTGGTATTAATTTGAAAATAAATTTATGACGTAAACGTTTGGCAGCATTTGTATCTCCTGTGATAAAATCCATTAAACCTTTCATCATCCATGATGATGGTGTTTCACCTGGATGTACTCTTGCTGATACAACAATTGCTTTCTTTTTCTATATTATGACATTCAAAGAAAAAAAAAACACAAGATAAATATTACGGAAAAATTAGAAAATGTGGTGTATGGGATGTGGTTGTAAGTGTGCTTAATTTTCATCTTTACTTAAAAATTTCTCACGATTTCGGAAATATTAATATATTTATATACGAACAGTTATATTAATAAGTTAAAACTGTAATTTTCGTGAAGCCTCCCTTATAATTAATCTGTTATCTTACTGTTGTCCAAATTTCATTTCATAAACTAATCAAAAAGCAGTTCTTTGTGATTGGGAACTTTTAGCTTATGAGCAAATTTAATAATGTTAAAATTTAGTTAAATTTTATTCTTGTTTAAATTATTCTATTGCTAAAATTCCGTATTATCTCTGTTTTAAATTAGAATGAAATCGAATTAAAAATCTATAGAATTTTTCTATGTAAATTTTATATGGACTAGGACTATCTATTGAAACAGAATTTTATTTTTGCATTTTGTAATCAGAAAAAATAAATTTTAAAAGTGTAATAAATCGTTGTCAATGTCAAATGAATGGAATTGATTGCGTTTATCAATTGAATCTTTGCCTTTCATTGTCTCTTTTTACAAAAGATTGGTGTTATTAGATTGATATTAATTTCGTAATATTCCTTTAAAAAACATTGACTAATCATCAACATTATCTCTAATAATCTATAATATTTCTTTGGAAAATTTCTGAATTCAGTGAATTTCTAAAATAATTGAATGATGATGCTTGAAAAATTGTCCGTTTTTGTTAAAAATTATTTAATACAACAAAAAAAATAATTCTCAGTGTTTCATAAAAGCACAGAAACACAAATAACACGGTGTGTATGTTTTGCGTGCTTTCGGCACTGGCACCATTGTTTTGTATTGATTGTCTAATTTATTATTATGCTTTGAGAATCAAACGGGTACCAATGAGAATATGCCTTATATCATGACTAAATATCTCTATACGAAATATTTACTTCTATACTCATAACTTGCATCACATAATCGGTGGAGGAAAAGCTTAGAACGCTTTTCAACAAATTCGAATTTTAATAATATTTATTTTCTAATTTTAAAACAAATATATATAAAAACAAAATTTTTCTATAACAATTTCAATTACAAGATCCTATAATAGCAAGTGATTATTGTATTCCTGTGATTTATTTTCCACTTTAATTGGTTTTTATCTTTCACTCAGTCTTTTTTATTTGGAATAGAATTACGATTTCGTTTGTATATTCGTGTTTGTATAAGACTTGGTTTTTTTGTTTTTGGTATAACGTTTTCTAATAGATGCTAATTTACATTTTAATTTACATGTTCAACAATGATGAGATCAAATATATTTCTATACTCATACATTTGAATCTATGTATCATGTAGATTAAACGTTGAAAAATCAAATATGTTATTGCTTTTCGTTTATTTTATTACAGTTTTTATTAGTGATTTTGCAAGTTAAATTATTGAGAGTATAGTGTAATGTATCTTTATACATATACCTAGTATTTGATAGAAAGAAAATAGGAAATACATATATCAATAGTAAAAAATGGGATTTAAAGATAGGACAGAATGAAATTACAAAATGAGAGCACAAAGAGAACGAAATTGAAATTACACATACAATATTAGAGTACTATATGTAAATATTTTAATTTTATTATTCAAACTTACTTTGATTTCTTCATCTTCAGATGGTGCTGTTACAGTTAAATAGTAAACATTATTACCGGCTAACGATCTACAAAGCAGTCTTAATTTACAATATTTTGATTTAACTGGATGATTTTGAATTGCCATTAAGTAATCCTATATTTAATAAATTTCCATTAAATTTAATTCGTACAAAATAATATTGTTATTAACAGATTTATTTTACCTGTAAATCACTGTAGGTATATGGATAACTATGAGCGAAGTAAACTGTATCATTATCATGTGGAAATTGAATATTAAATGTTAATGTATAAGATGTATTTTCATCTTCATCTTCACTTGATGCTCTATTTATATATATATATATATATATATATAATTTAATTCTTTAAATATATTGAAAATATACATAATAGAAATTCAACTTACTCTTCATCATTTTTAAAATAGCAAATATTATCGCCGCATCTACGCCAACCGATACCCATTAATTTTGAATTTGCATTTGAATACATTAATGGTCTCATACCTTCATTATATAAACTATCTGATTTTACTAAATTAACTATTGAAAATCTGAAATTATATGGAAAACAAAAACAAAATATTACGGATTTACGGAAAATAATTTCGGATTCTGTGAAAATTCTTCAAACATTTTAATTATTGATCAATTCTAATCCTTTATTTTTTGTAACACTCGGTGAGAATTGGTTAGAAATATTCTTAATAAAAATGTACAAATAAAAATGAAAAAATGTACACTATCTTTAATTTTAGAGGTGTCGGATTTTTGTCTGTAAAATTTTCACAGAAATTTCGAAAACTACAATATATTTTTGTTATCATAATTAATATAAGTATAGAAACTAACCTGTACATAACATTTTTTTTAGTATTACTAACACGAAAATAAAACCATTGTCTATGACGATTCGTATACATATCGGGTCTTAAATATAATTCATAATATGTTGATGTTATTTTCACAGCCTTTGCTAAATTACCCGATTCAAAACGTGATTCAAATTCTAATGAATCACAACCGCCATTATTAATATTATATTCATCAGTAATAGCTGTATTATCAATAATATCCGCTTGTTGTTGACTAATTATAATTTTTGAACCACCAACACTTGAACGACTGAACTGTGAAAAACCATATATTTTTGATTTGCTATTATTATTATTGTTACCATTATTATTATTATAACAATTATTTTTGTTATTACTACAACAACAACAACTACTATTATTTATTTTAATATTTTCATATTTTTTATTATATAATGATTGATTCAATATTGTCATTGATTGGTTTAGACGTTCTTTAGACTTTTGATCTTTATTATTATTATAAATATTGCTATTATTGTTATTATCATCATTATTACTATTACTGTTATCATTATTATTATTATTATTATTATTTAAATTATATTTCGTTGATTCATCATTATTTTTATTATAATAATAGTCATTATTATTACTATTATTATTATTACTATTATTGTAATTATTATTGCTACTACAACAATTACTACTTCTACAACAACAATAATTATTTGATGGTGATGCTAATAATGTTGATGATATTTTAATATTATCAAAATTATTATTTATTTTTAATTGATTTCGATTATCATTACTATTATTATCATCATTATGAATTGATTTTAATAATGGTTGTGGTTGTGATGATACTGATGATGATAATGATATATTTTCTAATAATGATGATGTAACATTTATTTCATTGCTATTATCTACTAAATGTGCATTTAAGCGTGCTGATAATGTAATATGTGCAATATTTTGAATTACAGGTATTTTTATTGGATTAATTCTCGTTAATTTTTCTTTAATTGGTGTTGGATCAAAAAAATCTGGTTCATAATATTCTCTTAATTCTTCTCCATCATTATTTCTATCATCATATTCATTATGAAAATCATGATTTGGATCATTAAATTTTAATTTACTATGCTTTTTACGATGATTTTTTGATTTCTTTTTATTATTTACATTTTGATTATTTTCATTATTATCATTGTCATCATTTTCTTCTTCATCATCTATTCCATTATTATAGTAAATATCCTTATTAGTATTATACCATTCTTCTTCTTCATTACCCAAATCTGAGTTACTGGATGAGCTACGTGTTGTTTGAAAATATTTACTAAATTTTTTTAATTTTTTAATTTTTTTCTGATTTTTATTGGTTCGACTACCATTATTAACACTGCTATTTTCACCATCACCATTATCTCTATTGATTGTTTTTTCATCATCGTCATTATTACTACCTTTTTCACGTTCTACTGATGAACAACGACTTGAATTTGATGTTGTATCTGAATCAGAATATTTTTCATCGGAATCGCCATCTTCTTTCTATAGAAATTAAAAATTAATTGAAAAAAAAACGAAAAAAAAAAAAAAAAAAAAAAAAGAAAATTTTGTAAATAAAAATAGTGAAAAATTGGTGAAAGAAGAAAATTATTTTCTAATATTGGAAAAATTGAAAATTATTATTTTTTTTTTGATTTGCATTTTTGTGTATTAAAAAAGTTTATAAATAGACCAAAGAGTGATGATTTCGTGCTTTCTTTTGTTTTAAAATTAAGCCAAAAAAAAAGAACAATTACAAAGGAAAATTTTGAATTTTTATTGAAAATGGAAAAAAAAAATAAATTACAAAAGATTTATTTTTAAAGACAAACGTGCAATGATTTCATTCTGGAAAATTTTTTTTTACTTTGCATGTGGGTATTGCGGGTACGCAGAATTTATATGAATATTATGTTTCCATTAAACAAATTAGGTCATTTTTCTTTAATTTAGGTAATTGGGGCTATAAATTTGCAACAAATTCAATTCAAGAGCATTGAAGTTAAATCAAATTTATCAGGTTCAATAGGCTTATTCTGAATGTCCGACGTTCTGCGAAATTCTAATTTTGGTTGAGATGAAATCAAGTCATTAAAATGAAACTAACTAAAACAAATGATTTTCAGTATCGAAAAAATTTGTTGTAATTACACAAGTCATATAAGTTATATATGGTAAATCAAAATAGGGCTAAGAAGTAGGAATGATCAAAAAAAGCTCTCCAATGAGAAATAAAGATTTGGTACGGTTATTGATCAATTAAAACGGTTCATCAACATGAAAAAATTAATGCTTTCTGAATCCAAATCAAACATTTCAATCCCCTTTTTTGGTTGTAATCGAAAGTCGTCAAATCTGATTTTATATAAGGTGCCAAATCTGATTTTATATATGAAAACATCTAAAAAGAAATCCTTGAATTTTTAATGTTTAGGAACCTTTTGTAAAATTAATTATGGGAAAAATCTTGAAAAATGCAATGAGATGTCTTTTGAACTGTTAGTTCGATTTAGTTCCAAATCCAATGCATATATGGTTCCCATTCCAATTATATCGAATAGCTACAATCAATATATTACATAAGTAAATGTAGTAATACAATCTCTACTCAACAATGGTGCATATTTCGTCTATTCTCCTTAGTTGCCAATTATTAATTATTCTTAACATTTTATAACATGTCCGAAACAAACGTATAACTATTATTGTATATAGATGCACGAAATATAATATTATACATTAAATAATAAGAGTATAACAGTTTATAATTTAATGTAAAATTAATTATGGTTTTAATTTGAATTTTAAATGTGACACAAACAAAAAATTTTATTTAAATGTTAAAATGCCATTTAGAATATTTAAATATTCAGCAATGAAAAATGAATGACTTTAATAATTCTGTTAGACTCTTCGAATATAACAGAAAAAAAATTTAAATTTAAGTGACCATTAAAAATTTTTTTCCTATATACAAACTTTTTTTTTTAGAAATTTTTAATTTTTCTTTTCCCCCAAAAATTTTTTTTTATTTTTATAATTAAAAAATGCTTACCTTTTACTTTCAAATAAAAAAAATTTAATAATGAATATTAAATTACATTCATATTTTTTTTTTTGTACTTTTCATTTCAGGTACAGAAAGTTCTAGGAATAAATTTTAGGAACTAAAATTCTTGTGGGTTCGTATGAATTAAAATAAATTTGCTTTTTTTTTAAAAATGTTTTATGACCATTTACTTTTTTTTATTTATTGTGTTTTTTTCCCCCAAGAATATGGAGAAAGTCAGAATGTTTTATGAAACTTTTTGTTTTTTTTTTGCTAAAAATTTATGAAATCATAATTACATGGTTATTAAAAGATCATTTATTTGAAAATGAGAGGGATTTTTTGTAAACCAAAAATAAATTTCTAGATGACCATAAGAAAAAACAATTTTTATTTTATAAAAATTTCAGTATTTTAAAGAAATAATAATTTACACAAGTACAGCCATCAGTTTTGAAGGTTAATAACCGAATTTAATACAAAAGTTTAGTTAGAATTTAATATTTTGGTTACCATGTGATGAGATATGTGAAAATGTATGTATAAGAATCGAATATAAGGGGCACTTATTGGTCAGAATTTCTCAGTTCCGCACGTAATATGCAAATGTAATATGAAATGTTTCGAAATCTTCCAAACTAACTTTTCGAAAAAAAATTTTATGATATTGTGAACATTTTATGGACTTGATTAAAATATAATTTAGAAAATTAAAGTTATTAACAAAAATAATTAAAACTAAATAATAATTTGTTCCAATTTAACTTTATTATTACAAATAAAATTTCATTATTTCCAATTGGATTCCGGGACAATATTTTCATAAACCATGGTACATTACAGTCAAACTCCTATAACACAAACTGCAATAAGATGAAATTCTTAGTAACATTGTGTAATACATGCATTTTGAATCATCCTAAAGGGAACTAACTCTCTCTCTAACACAAATTTAATTTTGTTGCAAAATGGTAATTCGTTTTATGGATGTCCGATTGTAATTGAAATAAGTGGAAAAATGTAATGCATCTCGGAATTTTTTTTTTTCCAGAGAACAGGAAATTATTATGAAAACATGAGAATTGCTTAGGATTTTTGCAAAAAAATTTAAATTTTCTAAAAATTTCATTAATTTTTTTTTTTGATAAAAATTGTTTGGTTTAATGGAAATTTTCGTTTTGAGAAAATTTCTGTGGTACAACAAATTCTCTTTCAAATTAAAATTGTTCTAGGAAGAACTTTTATGAAACAATGAAAATTTTCATGAATCACAAAAGTTTTTCTTATATCAAGTTGTTCTTAATTTAATGTTTTAAATTATTAATTTTTTTTTTACATTGTTAATACAATTTTTATTTAAAAATTGAAAATTTGATTTGTAAATATTTGATTAATAAAAAAAAACAGGACGTTATCCAGTTCCCATAAATCAGAATGATTCAATGAATGTAACAAAGTCATATAAAACCTACTTTAAAATTCTAAACAGTTCGGCTCAAAAACTCTTTTTCCTCTTTATTGTGTAGCACATTGTACCACACAGCATTTTTGTTTTTTATTTTCTAAAAAGATTACTTTGAGGCGTACAGCAAATGTTGAGCAAAGAACCTACGTAAAACAAAAGTCTTAATTTAAATTTCTACAGACAAGTTTTCAATATTTTACATTTACTTATGCAATATATTACGAATTTTAGATAGAATATTACAATTTTCTTCACATTGTGATTCTACAGCCATGAAACTACAAGTAATTGCTCAAAATTTTCAAAAGTTGTTTGAGTTTGTTTTTACAATAACAAATTACTTTCCTTAACATTTTCTTGGTCATAAAATTCTAATTGTCTGAATATTGAATAAGTTGAAAATGTTTTCGAAATTTTTGTAAAAATTACAAAATTATTAAACAAATTTACTTTTTAACAAAAATCTAATAAAAAAAAATTTTGAATTCTTTATTTTGGCTTTTTACCAAAATTTTAACCAAAAATTTTCTTTGGAAAATATTCGAAAAAAAAATAAACAAATTAAGTAAAACAGAACCAACTGAAAACAAAAAACAATGATTTTGTTATTAAAAAGTTTTTAATTAGAGGCAAAAAAAACAAAAACAAAAATTTTGTTGAAAAATTAAAAGTGAATTTCTTTTGAAGCTGAAAAATTTTTCGCTAAAACTTTCTCGTACATGCACAGAGCTAGTAAGATTAAAATTTTAATTGCAATTGATTGAAATGGAACAATTCTTTAAAATAGAATCATTTCTCATTAACATCATTTATTGTGGTTTTTGCTGGAATTTTTAATTGCAATATTTTGGAAAACAACAAAATTACATAGTCTCCTTATAGAATAATCAAAAAAAAACAACATTGAAATGAAAATGAAAGATGGGGAGGCATGTGTATTTTAAAGCACTTAGAAAATGAATAGTTTTCTAATTAAAAAAAAAAAATTATAAGAAAAAAATTTTTTTTGATGAGAAAATTCAATGTTATGCACACCAACCAAAGTACTTAATGAATAAATTGTGGCTTGTTGTCATAAATAATTCACAATGGTATTAAAATTTTGGAAAATTAAATTATGAATGCAAGGAAATCATTAAAAATTTTAAATATAAAACGAGAAAAATTTTTGGTAGTGTTTATGTATTGTATAATGTGTTTGATATCAGAATATTGTACTCATCATACAACACACAATATGTATGATATGAGTTGTATCATACGTATTGTATGATGAGAATAAAAACACCTAAAGTATTGCATATACCTATATATAAGAAATCTGTGAAATCATATAATGTTGCCAAAGGGCTTTGGCAGACAAGCAATTTTTAATTTTGTAATTACTGCTTGATTGTAAAATTGTTGGGCACACATCTAAGTAACTAAATTTTTGCATCTATTCAAATCGATTGCGTAAACTAAAAATTATAATAAATTTGTGAAAAATTACAAATTGTTTGATTGCTTAATTGCATGAAATCATACAGTTGCAATATGTGCGTGCTTTGAATATAAAACTATGGAATACAAATAGGTAAACAATCAATTATAAAATTAAATATTACATGTTTGCCTGAGTCCTAAGTTGTTTCAAGTAATTCATAATTTAAAAATTGAAAGCAAATTTTGGGAAAATATGAAGACTCCAATGAAATTTTGTCAAATAAAAAATTGTTAATTACATCTGAATCGGTTTTTTGACAAGCGTTTTCCTCTCTTTAATTAAGTTACCTTTTCGTTAGAATTGGTCCAAATTTTAACGAATTCTACTGAACTTTGAATTAAATAATTTCTCTCCTTTTATATTAGTTTTTATGAAATCATTTTGAATTATTTGAAAATGAGGTCGAGAATTTTAATTTTAATATTTTGATTTTATATTTGATCTTAAAGAAATTATTGTTGATGTTAACGTGAAGGCTAGTTATAGTGTTACTATAACCGTATTGGATATTAGATTTGTTCTTAATGGGATGCAATATTTAATTTGATAATGACGCTTTATTTTTGTAATTAAATCCTTATGCTGCATAAAATACCCAGCGGAGATTTCTATATAAATTTTCCTAAATATTATTTCTATTTAAAATTCAAAGTTGTTTATTCAAGACAATTAATCAACATTTTTAATATATTTAAAGTAATTAAAAATCATTATTTTTCAATAAAATAATAATAATTAAAATAGAATTTTGTTTTTTGTTTTATGTTTTGTTAAATCCCCACTTATTAATTACTCATATATCTTCTGTAGTTTTCAAAATAAATTTTATATAAATTTTTTTTAATTATGTACCAAAAATTCCCAAATAATGGCTAATAAAAATAAAAGCGTGTTTATTTATATGTGTTTATTCTTACAAATCATTATTTATGATTCTTGTGTGTATGTTTATGCAAGTTTTGAACACATATGTTTTGAACAAACACATATGTGATATTTGTTTAAAAAATAAAAATTTGAACTTAAGAGTAGGCGCTTCAATCACCGCATGACTTATTGAACAATTTGTTGCCAAAAAAATCATCTCTTCCGTCCATTATTTCTAATACACCTAACACATTTTTTTTTTTCAAATTTAATCGCATAATTTAAGTTTCAAGTTCAAAATTAAAATAATTTTGAAAAAAAAAAATAATATAAATTTTTCTTATTTAATATTTTGGCTTCAATTTATTCTTAATTTAATTGAAAACAAGTAAAAACGTTTCAGTCGGTATAAACCGATTGAATTATACCCTGCACCTTTCGTTATTGTGTAGCAATTACTCGAACCTGTGAGATCATTCTATAGAAACTTCACGGACATGTCTGACCTATAATTGGACATCCGACTGCCAAGTTTCATCAATCTGACCTTATAATTTTTCAAAATATTTAAAATTAGCTTTTGGAGTTGTATGGTAAGTACCTAAACCTGTCAAGCAATTCCATCAAAACTTCACAAATATATCTGATCTATAATCGGACACACAACTGCCAAGTTTCATGAATCTGACTTTATTATTTTTCCAAATATTAAGAATAAGCTTTTAGACTTGTATGGGATCTACTCGAACCTGTTAAGCAATTCCACCACAACTTCAGAAATATGTCTGACCCATAAATGGACACATGACTGCCAAGTTCCATGAATCTGACTTTATTATTTTGCCGAATATAAAAAATTTGCTGTTGGAGTTGTATGGCAGCCACACGAACCGGTGCAGCTATCCCATTATAATTTTTAGAGCATGTGTAGAATATAATTGGACACATGTATACAAAATTTTATATTTATAGCTTTATTAGTTTTTGAAATATTTAAAACAAACTCTTGGAGTTGTATGGCAGCTACCCGAACCCGTTGTCCGACTTAGTCCAATAACAAAAGGGTTCGTCCTTGGCACAAAAGAAAAAACTTGTGAAAGTTTGGTGTCGATTGCATTATTCGTTTTTGAGTTATCGTGCGATCGGACGGACGGACGGACGGACGGACGGACGGACGGACATGTCTAAATCGACGCAGAATTTTACGCTGAGCAAGAATATATATATATGTCCATACCGCAGTTAACTCCTTCAAGTAGTTACAAACTCCATACCAAAGTTAATATACCCTTCACGAAGTGCAGGGTATAATAAG